CCGAGCTGCCCCCCACTCTGCACACGCGTGGGCGTGCTGGCACACCTATGATATCGGTCTGTCTTTGAGTTCAGTGTCCCCCCTGAGCCGCCCCCACTCTGCACACGCGTGGACGTGCTGGTACATGTTCTTCCCCCGCACACCTGGCACAGGAGCATTCCCGCAGCCTGTGTCCCAGGAACAGATGGAGGCTTCTGGAAGTTTGGAGCTGCTGACGGTCACCCTCTCACAAAATGAGGGCCCACATCGGTGACCCCACCCAGGTGACCAGACATCAGGCCTGTGGAACCCAGGAGTCAAGGCCTCTGCAAATCTCCTCGCCAAGCCCTCAGGCCTGTCTGCCCTAGAGGAATGGCACCAATTTCAGGAACCTGGGCTGGGTTCCTTTGCCGGCATTTCCAAACAGCCTATTCGTTTTAGGAATTCTGGTGTTGTAGTGCCTTAGGCATTGACTGCTAATCAGAAGGCTGGCGGTTCAAACCCACCAGGCACTCTTGGAAGGAAGGTTGGGCAATTTACTTCCGTAGAGGTACTGCCTTGGAAATCCAAGGAGGGGTCACTGTGAGTCGGATCCAACCTGACAGCAGTGAGTTTGGTTTTTTTTTTTTTTTGGGAGGCTGGGTTTACCAGGAGACAGCAGCACCTTGGCAGTGAGTATGTGGGTGGGGCTCCCCATGTCTCCTTCACAGCATGCCCGGGCGGCGCTGAGAGGCCCTGCAGCGGGAACGGCCACTGCAGTGGGGACGGCAGCCGACAGGGGGATGGGTCCTGCCAGTGCTATATGGGGTACCGTGGGGCGCTGTGCAGAGACTGCATGGACGGCTACTTCAGTGCAGCACGGAACGACACACACAGCGTGTGCACAGGTACGACCCGGTGACCTCGGGGGCTGGGACGGTGACCCCAGGCTGGGACCAAATATGATGCGTGGTTGGACTTCTCCTTCTGTTGGACTAACCATGCCTTTCTGGGCTCTACTGTTAACTTGTTTTCATTTCTGTTCTTACTTGAACCAAATTTCCTGATTTGCAATCTGGTCTTGGGTTGGTGCTTGTACATGAGGCTGGGGGCCGCCTCACCCACTGCTGCCTCCATTTCAGTCTGTAATGAGGCCTGTAAGACGTGCACTGGCCCCAGCAGCGGGGACTGCGCCGAGTGCGAGGTCGGCTGGGCCCGCAAACAGGACACCTGTGTCGGTGAGACCCCCATGTCCCTCCTCTCATAGTGGACAGCCCCTGACCTGGGACAGACCCCAGGCTTGCCCCCAGGCCCTGTGCCAAGCCCGGCTGGCTGGCAACCACACCCCCCCCACCCAGTTAGCACTGGCCCGCAGGCCCTGTTTCCCGCTCTGCAGATGGGCAGCATAACACACACTGTGGACTCATGTTCTGGCGGGGCCTATGGGAAACCTCGGACCACCTGCCACTTGTGCTGCCAGTTGGCTGGAGCACGGGTCTTGGGTCATCAGAGCGACCTGTGACTGTTAGGATTCTGCTGTAGACCAAGGCAGGGGAATGGCGGGAACTTCTGGGTCCTGGTGGGTTGCTGGTGTGTAATCACACATGGGGAAACTGAGACATAGACCGCTCCCTGCCCTGGCCACAGAACGAGTGTGGCAGGACATGGTGAAGTTGGGTACCATGACAGACACTCCAGGTGCCAGCTCCGCCTGCTTGGAGGGGAGGCCACCAGGAAGGAAGAGCCCCACCACTGGCCACCGTTTTGTTCCCTCTGAGGTAGCCTCTGTGGTCTCTGCACTTTTCCTCTCAACCTGACTCAGAGCTCACAGCCCAGCTCCCCACATGCGGCCCAGCTCCCCGCATGTGGCCTGGCTCCACACACACTGCCCAGCTCTCCACATGCGGCTCAGGTCTGCACACGTGGCCTGGCTTCCCGCACGCAGCCCAGCTCCCTGCACGAGGCCCAGGTCCACACGCACAGCCCGACTACCCACATGCGGCCCCACTCCCTACACATGGCCTGGCTCCCCACTCATGGCCCGGCTCCCCGCATGTGGCCCAGGTCCACACGCACAGCCCGGCTCCCCGCACGAGGCCCAGCTCCACACGCACAGCCTGGCTCCCTGCACGAGGCCCAGCTCCACACGCACAGCCCTGGTTCCGTGGATGATGGGGCATGGGGGCCCAGACTCTCAGGAGTGGGGTGGGTTCTGGCTTTAGGCTGTGGCAGCTGACGGCCTTGGGTGAATGCCCACCCTGTTTCCCATCTATAGTAAGAGGGGTGATCACGGTACTGGTGTCCCTTTGGGAGGTTGGAGGGCCTCTCTGTGCCCAAGCACCTGGTGGGGCCCCTAGTGGGTGGGGCCCACAAGGTAGCTATTGGCCCTTGTCCTTGTGTCCTCGAAGCTGCCCCTCCAGAGGCTGGCACTAAGCATCCTATAGTGTAGGGCATGGGGCTGTTCACCCGCCCCCCATACCCTGCACACCTGCACCCTGCCCCTTCACCCTGTACCCCCCACCTTGTACCTGCACCCCACACCACCCCGTTCTGTACCTCCCCACCCTGCACCCTCTACCATTCTCACACACCCTGGGCTATGCACCCCCACACCGTGCACCTGCTGCCCTGCACAGTGAGGATGGAACCCTGTCCTCTTCAGCTCTCTGGGCAGCCCTGGCTCTGGGTTCTGAAGAACCGGAGTTTGAGGCTGGGGTTGATGGCTAGTTTGCAGAGCTTTGGAAGATAAAGACCCTTCTCTCAGCCAAAGTGCTGGGCCTTTACCCAGGCTGTGTCTGCAGGCTGGTGGCAGGGCACCGTGCCCATGTGCACCTGGAGCTGGTGGGGGGCTTCCTGGGGGGCCCCACACTGAGGTGGGAGCAGACTGGCACGTGGTCTTGGGGAGGCACGGCCGGGCAGATGAGGGGTGTGAGTTTGCCGGCCGTCAGAGCTCCCGAGTGCTAGGGCCGGGGAACCCCGGGGGCCTGTGTGGTCAGAAAGAGGGGGTTGGTTCAGTTTGAGGGCAGAAAACAGATGAGCTGGCAGCTCCATCCTGGGTCCCGCCCGCTTAGAGGACAGCTGGGCTCTGCCGCTGCCAACTCGCCCTGTTTTCCTCGAAGCTTTCACCCTCTGAAGGGTGGGCTAAACGGCCCAGAGGCCTCAGCACTCTGCTTTCGTGGGACTCTGGAGCCAGGGAAGGGTGTTGGGTCTCAGACTAAGGCTTCCGTGTCCTTGGCGTGTGGGGGAGCAGCGTTTGTGCTGAGTCGAGTCCGTGAGCGGGTTTGTGGTTCAGAAACCAGTTGGCACGTGGGAGAGGAAGTCAGCGTGTCCTGTGGGAGAGATGAGGTTTTCACGGTAGTAACTGGGAGGGCTGCCACCAGCAGTGTTCTCATAGAAAGCATAGCTGCTGGGACCACGTCCCCCTGAAGGTGTCCCACTGCTGGGTGCCCCAGGGTCCGCGAGCGGCACCTAGTCTGCGGGCGCCCTCCATGCTGTGTCTGTTCCAGACATAAACGAGTGTGAAGAAGAGGCGTCTCCGTGCAGCGAGAGCCAGTACTGCAAGAACGTCCCTGGCTCCTACACGTGCGAAGGTGGGCCCCTTGTCGGAGGTTCAGGGCCGGGATGGTGGGGCCCAGGAGGAGCCCTCAGGGCGGGCAGTCCCCTACCCACCAAGGGCCCTGCTGGGCATCTTCCTTCTGTTTTAAATGTCTGCCTGCGGCCTCTCCAGCGTGATTTTGTGTACGCTGCCTGCGTAGGGACTGAGGGTGGCCACACAGGTCGTGGGTTCTTGCTTCAGAAAACTGGCCAGATTTAAGGGAGTCCCCCCACCCCCACCGTTGGCGGCTGTACCCATGTGCACTGGAGGAGGAGCTCTGTGACTGCTCCGGGTCACCGTCACCCCCGGGCATCTACACCGCTTGTGTCCCCAGCACCGCATCCTGTTTCCTAATTTCTGGAGCCATCCTTACTTACTACTGGATATTTCAGACACTGGGTTTTTGATGGTTATAAACTGGACCGTCTTTGTGGCTGAGACGTCCCGTGTCCTCCATCATTCCTTCTGGCTTAATGTCCCCCGATGGGGTCCAGGCTTTTGGACTCCCGCCTCTGAAGGCAGCATGGCCCTTGCTCAGTGACAGCACTGTGGCTTTCTGACGTTTGTGCTGATAATCGCTGACAACGAGACCGCACACTGGAAACCTTGTGGGTCCCTGTTGAGCTCTTAAGACCCTCAACTGCTGACCGAAAGGCTGCTGGTTTGAGGCTACCCAGAGGTGCTTCGGAACCAAGGCCTTCCTGCAGGCACAGTACCACTCTGACGCTCATAGGGCCACCAAACGTCTGGGCCAACTTGACGACACCGGCTGAGGTTTTCTGGGGAGTGAGCCAGCGTCGCTGAGCTCTGGTGTCTGTTTTGAGAGGTCCAGCGCCCGCTTCTGCTGTGGCCGGAGGGTTTTGAAGAGGGTGGAGGCAAGTGCTGCTGCCGTCAGGGACCCTCTGTGGGCAGGACTCTGCTTCGGCAGGAGTTGGACCTGATGCGGGTTGAGACCCCACAGTGCTTCTCGCTCTCCATAGGCAGAGCCCAGCCAGATCGAACTCTGACTGGAGCCCGGTCTTCCATCTCCACTGTGGGCGCTGGGTTGATCTCTGACTGGAGCCTGGTCCCACGTCTCTACTGTGGGTGCTGGATTGAGTTCTGACCCAGAGCCCGGTCCCACGTCTCCACCGTGGGTGTCAGGTGGAGGTCTGACCCAGAGCCCAGTCCCAGTCTCCACTGTGGGTGCCGGGTGGAGGTCTGAACCGGAGCCCGGTCCTATGTCTCCACTGTGGATGCTGAGTCGAGCTCTGACCGGAGCCGGTGTGACATCCCCAGTGTGGGCACCAGCTCGAGCTCTGACCAGAGCCTGGCCCAGTGTCTCTGCCACAGATGCTGGGCCAGCTGTGAACGGAGCTGTGTCTCATGCTGTCGCCTTGTGTCCTGTTGGTAGAGTGCGACTCGACGTGCGTGGGCTGCACGGGCGAAGGCCCTGGGAGGTGCGTCGCGTGTGTCCCTGGCTACACCAAGGACGAGACTGGCCAGTGCTCAGGTGGGTGGGTGCCTGGGCCAGAGCAGTGGCCCCCCAGGGACCCCCCGTCAGAAGTCCTTTGACAGAGCAGGAGCAAGAGCTGTGGGTGGGTGACGAGAAGTGGGCTCTCTTAAAGCTCGTAGGTGCAGGGTGTGTGGGTGGAGAGGCCTAGCCCAGGTGTTGGGGCCATGCATCACCGCTGGTCATAATTGTCCACGTGGTTGGAAGCTATGCCCTCCAGGGTTAGGACCAGCTCTGGGCCCCTCACTTTGCTGCTGCCCATCGTGTCTGTGTGAGCTCGTAGGGTGTCCCACTTTCACAATGGACAGTGTGAGGTCCCACCCATCTGCTGACCCCCGTTGCCTGTCTGACTCACCCTTTCTGTTTTCTTCCTGTGGGCATGTTTGTGGGTATGTGGGTCCCAGGCCCTGGTTCGCGGTGGGCCATCAGCGTGCCCCTGTGGGTCCCACGGCCTGTGGTGCAGTGGGCCATCACCATGAGGGTGTGGGTCCCACGGCCTGGTGCTCAGTGGTCCCTCAGCCTGGGCGTTTGTGTTGCAGACATAGACGAGTGCTCACAGACAGAAAAGCCGTGTGCTCGGGAAAATGAGAACTGCTACAACACCCCAGGGAGCTTTGTCTGCGTGTGCCCTGATGGCTACAAGGAGACCGATGCCGCCTGTGTGCTGACAGCCGAGGGCGGTGAGTGGGCACAGGAGGGGCGCAGAGGGAGGGAGCGGGAGGAGCAGGGGGTCTGAGAGTGTCCAGTGGGGAGGCTGGAAGGCCCCTGAGGGGGTTGGAGGAGGTGCCTGGCTGTGGCCTGCACATATTAGGCCCGGTTTCTGCTCACCCACATGGCCCGGGCAGCTCCATGCTCAGAAGCTGACAGAGAGCAGCCCTAGGGTGAGGTGGGGTGGTCGGGGCCTCCTGGGTGATGAGTCTAAAGCTCCATGTGGATGTGACGTCATCCAAGAGTCCACTGCAGGGTCAGCCACTCAGTCCCTGGGCACGGATCTGAAATGAGCGATCTGAAAGACAAGGAAAGGGAAGCTGTCAACAGAAGAGCAGAAAGATTTTTCAGAAAGTAGAACCAGGCTGGTGTTACGGAGATGGAGGCTCCCTCGTGTGGAGGCTAGTAAGGGAGCACGTGCCACGTTCCCAGACTCTTCCCGACCTATCCTCTGAACCTGCCTGGGCACTTGGTCAGCCCCTGGGCCCACCCAGGCTTGGCTCCAGGGTGGGCAGCATCGGGCCTCCTGGCAGGGGAGGAGCATGGCCTGTGCTGGGCTTTTCTGGAGGGCTGGGCAAGCCGCTCAGTGGCCATCAGAGCCCGCAGGCTGCTTGTCCAGGAAAAGCCACAATCTTTCCCCTGAGCCCTTAGTTTCACTCAGTGACAGCTGCTCATTTCCTGACAGAAACACAAGAAGAAAACGCAACACAGCCCCTGCCCCACGAAGACTTATAACGTGAGTCAAGTTAGAAGACACCAGACCTGCCCTTAAATTATTCTGACGGAGGCGCTGCGAAACACGACTGGGCGTGGTGTCTCCGGGACACTAACCCCTGTGGCCCTGCATGCTACATCCCCTTCAGAGAACCGTCTATTTTGATACTGTCCTTTATAATAAATTTGACTGTTGGACGTGGTTGGGGTGGCGTGCGGCCGGCTTGTGGAACACAGCCTCTTCAGGCTGGGTGTGCCCCTCACCTGCTAGAGTGGCGGTGACCCCCCTCCCCCCGTACTGGTGGGCGCTCCCCATGATGGTCACAGCCATGTCCCCAACATGGCCGTGGCCTCATGGATGCCTGAGCAGCCGTGTGCTCAGGGGCTGGGCCGGGTGCAGACCCGGGAGCTGTGTCTCCAGATGTCCAGTGCTGTCGGAGCCTCTGGAGTCCTTGGGCAGTTCTGTCAGAGAGGAAGGGGACCTCAGGTGGGAAAGGCCATCTTTGAGACTGAGCTGGAAGAAATCTGCCATCTCCCAGAGAATCTGGTAGTGGGACCAGGGCCTCCATGGGAGCCCCTGTTACAGCCCCCGCCCCACTGGGCTCTGGGGCCCCAGCACACCAATAGTGGAGGGTCGGATCCTGCCCTCCAGGGTCCTGCTGCTGTCCTCAGAAAGTTACCCCCACCGCCATCTGCCCATGCCAGCCTGCTGTGCGCTGCCCACCCCCTAGCCTGTGCCAGGGCCCCACCTATCCCCAGCCCCTGCAGTGTGGCTCAGCCTGTTCTGCCAGTCCCTTGTGTGGCACCCCATGTAGGTGGCTCTGTCCTCCCCATTTCTTTCTCCAGCGAGTTTTTGGACATGTTTTTGTCTCCATGGCCTTGCCTGCTTTGTCCCCATGTGGAACCCCGAGCCTGGGCATGCAGGGTCTCCTAGTTCCTGGAGGGACCTCGGGGCTGCTGTCCAACCCCGAGCTATCAGAGCCTGACTTAGGACCACCTAGGCCAGCCTGGGCCTGCCAGGAGCACAGGTGTGCTCGTGTCCTACCAGGTCCCTGGAACATGCAGGTGCCCGGGCCGGGCGGCGGGGCCTGGCTGCGCGCCGTGCGTGCAGGACATTCGCCCCATTTCCAGCCTGGAGCCCGGGGTCCCCATGTCCTTGCTGCAGGCTGTGCGGCTGGCAGGGCCACTAGGTGGCGACAACAGCACACGGGCAGGGGACCGACAGCCGGGTGGGCCCTCTGGGCAATTGCCCCCCTTCACAGGCTCCACAAACGCTGGGCTCCGCTCCCAGACTCCCAGCCCCGAAGCCCAGGGAGAAGGCGAGGACTCCGTGGAGAGGGGCAGGCGGACAGGTCGTGAGTGGGCCTTCGCCCTGGTATCGAAGGTACTTTCTCAGGCGCTCAGCCACCACCAGGAGACGCCCCCCCAGCTTTGCCCCCACCATGACTTGGAAACACCAGCCTGGTTTCCCTGTCCCCAGGTCAGAGGCAGTCGTGTGAGGCCTGGGCTGCCAGAGACAGGGCTGGGCTAGAGTCTGGACAAGCTGCTGCCGCCAATGTCCCCAGCAGGGCCCTGCCCCACCGCCTTTGCACCGGCTGTCCTGCCGCAAACCTGGGACCTGGGCCCCTTTCGGGGTCTCAGCTCAGCTGACCTGTCCCCGACCTGCAGCGCAGATCCTGGCCACCGACTCTGAGCTCTTTATTTTTCACCAGTGACCCTTCTGTCCTGGAAGTGTCACCCCACAGGACGGCAGTAGGCATGGAGCCCCTCCCCCAGAGCCTCAGCCGTCTTGTCCGTAAGTGGGAAGACGGGCCCAGACGAGGGTCGGGCACAGCCTGGCACATGTGGGGGATGGGTGAGATGCGAACTCAGCCCAGGGGCATCTCCCTGCCGTAGGCAGTGGGCTTGGGGCACAGACCAGGGCCACGGGAGACATGGGTGCACGTGCTGGGGAGAGGGGCCATGGGTATAGGGGCCTTAAGGGTGGTGCCCTTGCAAGGGCTCCAGGGGGTCTAAGGTGGGGGTGCCGTTGCAAGGCTGGCCCCCAAGCTGCCCTGTCCCTGATGCGCTCCCCTCCAGAAGGTTCTGGGCCCCAGAAGGACCAAGCAGTGCTTTGTGGCCAACAGGTGGCACTACAGGTCCACACCTGGCCTGGCGTCCCCCCCAGGGATACGGAGCAGCCACAGGCAGGCCCGGGCTGCCAGCCTGGGCAAGGGGACGTGGTGGGGGCTGAGGAAGAGTGTCCAGGGGCCACGGTCTGGTGGCAGCCCCGCCTCTGCCTGGAACAGCCGTCCCTCTGTCCTTCCCTCTCAGTCCTGCGTCCCCTCCCGGCCAGGGTTCAGCCCCAGGGCTCTGGGGAGGTGGTGCAGCCCTCCTCCGGTGGGACCCGGTGCAGCTCACCAAAGCCCCCTCCCCTCTGCTCTTCCCCTCACCACACTGCTGCCCGCCCTCAGCCAGGCCTGGGGTCTCTGACTCACGGTGCCCACTGCAGGGTCAGCCACAGAGCCCACGATGTACTGTGTGACCGTCCTAAAGCACAGCCCCACGCGTCACTTGGGCTGGTACTCTGCCATCCAGGACCCTGAGTTGGACCATTTTGTGAGCCACGGAGCTTGGCAATGTCTGAGACGTCTGAAAGTTACTGTGGTTGAGTGCGTACAACAAAGCATCAGCCGTTGTAACTGCTTTGGGTGCACCTTTCAGTGGCATTACCCGCATTCATTACCCCAGCTCCCCCACAGTCTGTGCCCCTGAGCAACGCTGCCACCCTCCCCCGGCCGTGGGAACCTTGGATCTGCTTGTGTCCACCACCAGCCCCAGGTGTCTCAGCTAAGGGGGGTTACGCAGTGCTTGTCCTTTTGTGTCTTACTTCACTTGGCGTGGCATCCCACAGCGTCTCCCACTGTCAGCCTGGCCTGTGAGGGGCCACCACTGAGCTGACGATGCGGGTGCTGCCCCCAGAGCACTGGGGGTGGCTTAGGTCAGGGTTCCCTTGGGCCCCCACCCGCCACACACTCACTCCAGCGCGGCCTCCTCCCTGAGCCTCCGTGGCTCGCCACGTCAGCGGAAATGGTCCTCAGCTGTCTCCCAGGGCTCAGTGTGTGACGGGGCCCCCGTCCTGTCTCATGAGGGTGCACACCCAGCAGCTCCCCATGTCCCCCACACACTCAGGCACCCACGGGACACGCACCCTGGCCCCGCCCCGTCGTAGGGTGGGTCCTGTGGCCCTTGAGGGAGAGCCCCTTTTGTTCCCCTGGCCGGCAGGGCCCCCAGGGCACGCTGAGGCTCAGTTCCCATTACCAGCCTGCTGGCCTGGAGGGGACTAGGCAGACCCTGGGGATATATGCTGCCTTGGGGGGTGGGCGTCTGTGCGGGTCCCAAGCAGGGCCAAGGGCAGCTCTCAAGGAGCAGGGGACCCAGTCTGTGGCTCCGCCAGTCCCCTGAGAAGGGCCTGGGCCTGCGGGCCCTTGGTGGTGGCCGGGAGGCCCCCTGAAGCCGCTCCTCTGCCCGCCCTCATGGCCAGAGATGGCCTCTCTTTGTGGGCTAGGGGCACCCCTGAGGATGCGCCCTCAGTTTTCTGTGGTCTTTTTCCAAGTCAGGGGGGGTCAGCATAGGTCCCCAGTCATGTCATGTGGGGTGCAGTTCCCCCAGCACTCCTGTGTCGTCTGACTGGCAAAGCCTCTCCGCACCTCATTCCCCATCGTTGACGGCTGGGACCATCTCACCATCGGCCAGCCGGCTTCACAGCCTCTGCCCCCCTGACTCCCCACCTCCCGGGTCTGGTCCCTGAGGCAGTAAGCCCTGTGGTGAGCGCCCCGTGTGGGGAGCTCATGGGGGTGCTGGTCCAACTCTGGGGAAAGGGACAGGAGAAGGAGTCGGCCACGACTCGGCCCTGACCACGCCACCTTGGCCCAGGTCGGTCCCACAGGGAGTTGGGCTGGGTGACCCTTCCAAGTGGCCCCAAGTGGGTGAGGTCCCAGGCCTTATCTTGACTGCATCCCTTCTTGGCACAGGGGGTGGGGGTCAAGGTGGCCTGGTTAGCAGAGGAAGCCCAGCAGGGCCAGCGGTGGGGAAAGTCCCTTCCTCTCTGGGGTGCCGTCCTGAACCCTGGCCCTCTTGTGCTTAGCCCGCCCCACCCCTACTGCAGGCATCTGTCCCCTCACACTGCCTGCCCACCGGGGCCTGCGCACCACCCCACACCTGTCCCGAGTGGTGGGCAGGAGCCCCAGTTTTGCCAGGCCTCGTTATCACCTGTACCTCTACTTGAGTGCGGCAGCCCCCC